GGGGGGCGCGCTGAAGCGAGGCGGGGGGCGGGTCCCGGAGGGATGCGGTGGGGGGGCGCTGAGCGCGGCGAGGGATGCGGTGGGGGGGCGCTGAGCGCGGCGGGGGGTGGGGGCTCCCCCCGTTCCCGTGACGCTGAAGGGCACGCGCAGGCCGGCGGCTGCGCCCCCTCCCCGCGCAGTCTGGCTGGATTCCTGCCTGCGCCGCTCTGGGGCACCGGTCCCGGTCGGCAGGACAGCGGCCTGGGGCCGCCTCCCGCATCAGCAGCGTTAACCCAGCCCCGAGTCCCGTGCGGGGGGGCTGGCTCGGCTGAGGCTGTCGGAGCCGCAGTGCAGCCGGAGGACGGCTCCTCGCTGGGCCCCAGCCCCCTGGGAACACGCTGCCTGAGTCACGGTCACAAGACACACTCCTGTCCCCTGAGCCCTAGTAGCGCTTGTGACCCGTGTTCATTCCTTTGATACCCGAGATTAGTGCCGTGCTTCACACCAGTCCTCCAGCGTATCGACCCTCCTGATCGTCTGCTTTGTGCGCAGGCAATTGCTTGAAGGCGCTAATACCAATTCGAACAATGGGATTTTTGACCTGTGTGTAACTTAACCTGCAGCAAGCCCTGCCCAATACTGCTGTCAAGGGGGGTGGGGGGGGGGGGGGGGGGGGCCCTTGGGTAAAGAAGTGGGGTGTCATGTATGGTTCTAGACCTTGAACCTCTTCCATTTTTGGTAGGAGTACGTCCGTATCTTTGATCAGGATCAGGTGGGAAGCAAGGAACAGTGAGTGAAGGTCACTGTCTGAAGAGAGGCTTTGTTGGTAGTGGTACAGCCTCTCTTGAATGTGTGGCTGTTGCCTTTCCCTGGCATGCTGCATATCTGACTTCTGTGCTCAAAGACTGGGGTGAGATACCTTTATTGGGAAACTGATCTTGACCCTTGGCTGTCTTGCTGTGTACCCAGGCGGATGACGGGCGATCTGCCAAATCAATATATGAATTCCATGCCAAAGACATTGATGGCAATGATGTGTCCCTGGAAAAGTACAGGTAAGTGGTGAGGAGCCCAGGTGCTGTGAGCTTGGCTGGCTCAGCAAGGTACCCAAAGCACAAACCTTGTGGCTAGCCTGTAGATAAGCTATTAATACTTCAGTTTCCTCTAATCTTGTCTAGCCAACAACAACAAAAACTGTTAATATTCCCAGCCCAGGGAGGAGTGCTGGTGAGAGAGCAGCACATCCAGGCCCTGGGGAGGAGGAGTGCCCCAAAGGGACTACACTAGGCAACTGAACTAAGCAGGGGCAGCTTGGCTCCAGATGGACAGGCTGTGCCTGACTACTGGGTGGGGTTCAGAAGGTCTGTGACTTGCACCAAATGGGAGGTGTGGAGAATTCTGTGACTCACATCTGATGCAAATGAGTCCAGGAAAGGGGTGCATGTGAGGTGCCAGTTAGCAGGTTACATCCAACAGGGAAGAAAAGCAATGGCTATTCTGTAGGGGAGGGTCCCTTGCCGCAGATACATCTGTCTTTGTGGGGTAGATCAGCTCCAGCCCTTTAGCGGTCAGTGACTCTGCTTCTTTCCCAGGGGTTACGTCTGCATCATCACCAATGTAGCATCCAAATGAGGAAAAACTGACGTAAACTACACTCAGCTTGTCGATATGTACGCCAGATACGCTGAGAGGGGTTTACGCATCCTGGGCTTCCCCTGCAACCAGTTTGGAAACCAGGTGGGTGGCACCTCTGCCTTCTTGCACTCTGCCTGCTAAGGAAAGGGGGTTCCTCTAGGGGAAAAAAGCAGCTCTTTCTCCCTAGCAAAGGGGGCTGGCTCGGCAGCCCTAGAGACTGAAGGATCCTTGTAGTTAGCATGGGCTTGGCAAGTATTCCCAGCGTATAGCGCCTTTAAGTACTACCATCAGATAAACAGCTAATTACACAGCCTCGCTAGCATATGAGTGGGAGTACAGTTTAATCTTTGGCCCATTCACACTTTGATGTCTCTGCCAAAAATTGGTCATGGTGACTGGTGATGTGCACACTTTGGTCTTAAAGAATTAGGCTATTTGCCATCAAGCTGGGGTAATGCACCCAGTCTTCAGCTGGGCTGCCTGAGGCACAGGGAGGCTGTGGGTGACTCAGTGTGCATTAGAACATGGAAGTGTAGCTCTGCCAGGCATTCAGGTGGACCATGTGGCTCCAGTCATCTCCTGAGCCCAGTTGTATTCAAGTAACCATGCTCCCTGCCAGCTGTGTCCCAGCAATGAGTGGGATATTCTAGAAGCAAGCTGCTCACGCCTCCTTGGTCACCCAGCCCACCCAACTTCATTCCCTCAATGTACGCGCATCCTGCCCTCCGAATCTGAGCCTGGAACTGTGTGTAATCCAAATGGAATGGGGTTCTGGGTAGTCAGTCATAGCCTAATGATGCAAGACCACTCACTTCCCACAGTAACCCTTCTCTTTGCTTCTTAGGAGCCTGGGGATGAGTCTCAGATCAAACAATTTGTTGCAAGCTATGGGGTGAAGTTTGACATGTATAGCAAGATAGAGGTCAACGGGAACAACGCCCATCCTCTCTGGAAATGGATGAAAGATCAGCCCAAAGGAAGAGGCACCCTGGGAAAGTGAGTGCAGACTCAGAGCAGTAACAGATGCAGAAGGAAGTGGTAGCATTAGAGAAACAGCTTGGCCCCACTGGTGTCATTGGAATGGGGGAGGGGGGGAGCAAGTCAATCCTGGGATGAAACCAAAAGAGGAGACTTAAGCCTGCACCACTGGCAGCAGGGCGACACTGGACTGGAGAGGAAGGGGCTGTGGGGTGGATGGCTTGGAAAGCTGCATGGTCACAGAGCAGCCCCCAGTTTGGGCCTGTTGGAAGTAGTGGCAGAGCAGGCTGTTGGGTTAGGCGTGGGGCTGCGGTGGGTGGGCGCTCCTATCCGCGCTGGGACTGGTTTATAACAGCTGCTGTCTCACTGGTGTTCTCTCTCCTTCCTAGTGCAATAAAATGGAACTTCACAAAGGTAGGACTCTGCTCTCTTCTCACTGGCCGTTTTAGCCTCTAAAACGGCCTGACCATTTGTGGTGTGATCCTGTAAGATCCCAGGAGCTAAGCAAGGTTGGGTGGGAGGCTCCAAGAAACACTTAGCTGCTGGAAGAGGTGTTGGAGGCAGGGGCCAGGGAGCCTAGTAAGATTACTCCTCCTGAGCAGGCATTGACCCACAGCTCCTAGACCTAAAACTGAGGCCCTGACCTTGAATGTGGGTCCTAGATCAAACCCTCTAAGGGATAGGGGTGTCCGGCCAGACTCCAGCTTGGCTAACTACATTCTACCTCACTCCGTTTCAGTGGGATACATCAGTCTTCGCTTTGCGCATTGAGTTGTTGTGTGGTGGTGAGGAAGAGCTTGCCTCATGCCAGAGGTGGCTGCATTTCAGCATTTGGGGATGGAGGTCTTGTACATCATGAGCTCGGAAGATTTCAAAGCACTCGATCCCCCTGCAAAGGAGCTGTAGTTCTTATAAGTGACCCGGGGAGGGATAGTGGCTTACCACGTGCCCCCAAAGCTGCGTCTCCACCCATGGCCTCCCTGCTGCCCAGGGGAGTTAGCCATAATAGAACCTGGCCTTGAAGCTCATTTCCTGTAGTGTTCTGTGCGTGACTCAAGCGTTGGGTTCCAGTGGGGCAGAGCACTCATGTGGGTCCAGGATTATTCATGCTTGTCTCTTTTAACTCCACAGTTCCTCATTAACAAGGAGGGCCATGTGGTGAAGAGATACAGCCCAATGGATGATCCATATGTAAGTCAGCCTGTCTGTGTGTCACAAAGCTGTAACCTGGGGGGCTAGCTCTGCCGGAACTGAACAGCCAAGCTGTGTGTCACAAAGCAGAGCTTTAATAGTGGGTCCAAACTTGGGGGAGGAAGGGGAAGAAGATACTTTGCCAATAGCTTCCTGCACTGCCCTTGCTATTAGTCATGTACCAAGACTTGGGTAATGCAGCATCATGACTCCGTGGCTGAGGTCCTTGTTTCTCCCCAGCCTGCAGTGAACACACAGAAAGAGCTGCTGGGTTTCCTTCCACTCTACAGGCTAACAAAACTTAAGCTGCCCTTTGACCGTGTAGTGGGTGGGGAGTTCTCTCTGCAGGAGTGTAATGCAGAAGGATGAAAATGAGCAGGGTGGGATTCAAGTAGCTAAGAAGCTGTGCCCACAGCTGGTAGGGATGTTGCACAGGGAGGTGTTCCTAATCAGTGGTGTAGAGCTCTGGATACAGCAGGCAGGGGCTAGTTATCCTTCATGGACAGGACAGCGGTGGGGGCTCTCCACAGGCCCTCAAGAGAAACAGCACTTGACTCCCTCTTCTCTGCAGGTGATTGAGAAGGACCTGCCCGCTTTCCTGTAGACCTGTTCACTTCGACACTGGACCATTCCCTCTGCTTAGCAATGGCTTTTACCTGCTCCCTGTGGAGTCTTCCCATCCAGCTCCAATGACGGCCTGCCTTAAAGCCAGCCTGCTGGTGAGGCAGACCCGAAAGCTTGGCGTGCATCTGCGGGAAGAAGGCTTCACTGGGCTGGTGGCTGTTGCTGGGCAGTTTCCATAGACCTGACTTGGGCACTCACTTTTGTTGCAATAAAAGTTTATGCTGAAACTGACAAATGTCTTGCCTGAGTCTGTTGGAAGCAGCTGTGTGTAACATGGTGCAGAATAGGAAGCTCCAGTGACTCTTCCAAGTAGCAACAATCTCTGTGGGGGAGGATGCTCTCTTCTGTGCAGTGCCAGGGAACAGCTGCTGGGGAAAAGAGTCGGGTTGTATCGGCAACTTTTATGCTGGCCACTGTCAGAGTGGTGGGGAGCAGAAAGCAATGGACTCTGCTGCTGGGCGTTTGAAACAGGTTAGCTGGATCCTGGGGAAGTAATTTTACCCAAGGAAACATTTTATTCTGCCCAAGCCTGTGCTAAACATGAGTTTATGTAACTCCTGCTCTTGGAGCCAACAGCTGGGTCTGAGCGGGATAATCCTTGGTAATACCAATAGGAATTAAGCAGCAAGTGCCGAGACCTTCCCTGGGGCTATTTTTTTCTAGATTTCCCCAAGCAGGCTAAGGCAGCATCTTCTGGCAGTTCAGTTACAGCAGGGCTGCCTGTCGCTGGGAGCAAGGGAGGCTGCAGCATCGACCAGTCACATGTGACTTGTTTTGTGTGGCTGAATTTAGTTGTGAGCACTAGGCCAGCTGCTCTGTGGGGCACAGCTGCATTGTTAATGGACTGATGATTTCACACCAGGTGTGGATCTAGTTTCTACATTTGCATTCAAATCAAGCATCTCTGTTCAACACAACTGGCTCTGCAGTGTACAGAATTCTTAAGCTCCCACAGCAGTGGGAGGGTGTCTCTAAAGGGTTAAGTGTAAAGTAGCCAGAGGGTTGGGCTCTCTCCGCAAGAGACAAATGTGGTGAACAAGGTAAACATGCTTAAAGAAACCTCCCCAACCTGCCTATATTAATTAGGCAGCCAAGCCAGCTGCAGTAACTTATATTGCTGTAGTAGTGTGGAAGGATGGGCATGAGGGAGAGGTTGAAGGCTCCTGCCTACACTCCTTTCCCTGGTGAAACACAAACCGGGGGGGACTGAAGAACCCATCCTGTCTGACCAGTGCCCCAGCCTGCACCCTCAGTTGTAGGAAGTGCCCTATGAGCCAGGGCGTGGCAGTTAATGGGATGGCCCTGCTGCACTCACAGCCCTAATAAACTAGCATGACGCACACAGAGCAGCACAAACCACCCCACCTGGGTGAGTCTTGAACTGGCCTAGAGTTGTCTTGTAAAATGTCTTCAGGGGGTTTTATGGATTCTGAGGCTAGAAGGGACCATTGTGATCAGACCTCATGTGTTTCTCAGGCCAGAGACCTTCCCTGAGTAGTTCCTGGAGCAAATCTTTTAGAGAAACATCCAGTTTACATTTAAAAATTGTGTGATGGAGAATCCATGACTCTTGTAAAGCGTTTCAGTGGTTAATTACTCACTGTTAAATTACCTTATTTCCAGTCTGAACTTGTCTAGCATCAACTGCCAGCTCTTGGATGGCATTATACCTTTCTTTGTTAAACTGACAAGCCCTTGGTTACCTACTTGTTCCCTGGGTAGGTACTTTTAGACAATCAAGTCACCCCTGAACCTTCTCATTAAACTAAAGAGAGGGCACATCTTCCATCTGTGTCTGCAGTCAGGCTTCTAATCATTTGCATCAATCTCTAATTATCCACATCCCTGAATTGTAGACCCCAGAATTGGATGCAGCAGTCACACCTAGGCTAAATACAGAGGTAAAATAACCTCTCTACTCCTACCTGAGATTCCCCCCCCGTTATGCAGCCCAGGATCGCATTAGCTCTTTTGGCCACAGTGAGCTCACATTCAGCCAATCATTCACCATGACCCCCTCTTAAGGGGCAGGAGGGGTGCAGGCCCCTGGCTAAGGAAGTGGGGTGTGTTGGGCGGTTCTATAAACTTTCCCCTTTTGGTAAGAGTAGCTTAGTATCTGTGATGACAGGGAGCAGGAGGAGAGCAAGGAAGGTAACTGGTAAAGAGAAGGTGAAAAGGTCCTGACTACCCAACAGCACGAGTTAAAGCCAGAAGCAATTAACTAACAATGAAAGATGTATGAGAATAAGCTGTTTTATAGACGCAATTAAATGCATCTGCAGCACCAGAGTAGGAGCCCTGGCTAGCCGGGAGGAGTGTAGGTGCATAGAAAAATGTAAAGCAGTTGGGACCTGGTCTCAGCAGTTAAGTGGCTGGAGGACTTGTCTGCAATGGCCCATTGCAAACCAACTGGGCCTTACAGTGCTTCAGAAAGGGGAGGGAGGCAGGTCATCTCATTTCCTACCTAGAGCAGCTGAAGTGCACCGCTGAGAAGCACTGACACATGGCAGCAGCACCTTTGTGCTCTTTATTCCATCAAAGGAGCTGTTTGCAAACTAAAAAGGGAGAGGATTTAACTGCACCGGGGATCAGCAAGGCCAGGCATGTCAAGTCTGGGTCTTCACTTCAAACTGCCCACTATTGTCTTCTTTGCTTCGCGACAGGGCTACTGTATAAAATGTAGTGAAAAGCATCCACCTCTCTCCCCCACAAACTATTGCTGGTAGAGGAGACTTAGAGCAGCACTACTAGGCAAGGAGGGCCCATCTTCACCTAGGGACTCGCGAAGGCAGCAGACAACAGAAGCCAGCTCTAACTCAGACCCTTGCTACGTCGATTGGCACAGTGGTCAGGAACTCCTTCCCCCACTCCTGCAGGTTTGGGTTCTGTGGGGATTTCTTTACCTGAACGCTACGTGTCTGACTGCTGAGATGAGGATGAGCCCAGATCCCAGTGGATGAACACCCCACAACAATCAACACCAGTGGAGTGGGCAGAGAAGCCGACGACTGAATAGGGGACGGCTAGCAAAGCATGCTGCCGGATGTACTCCAATAGGCCCCTCTCAGGCCCAAGAGAGGCAGGGCCACTTGTGCTGCCAATGTGGGCCCTGTTGTATAGGGCAAAAGCTCCCAGGCTGAGAAACCAGCAGTCGAGTCCCAAACATTTATTAAGTTAGGGTGAGAAAGGAAGCACCTTTCAGCATCAAGCCTTTGCCAAGCCACTTCCCCGCTGGGATAGGACAGCAGAGATTAAGCAGGATTGATACACTGGACAAGAGGATCATTGATGCCACAACAATTAGGGATTAGTTGTGACCTTGCTGGAGTCCAGGTGCTGTGACAGCCCTATGCTCTGCCCAGGGAAGGGAATCCATTGTCCAGGGGCCTGGCTGAGTTGACACAGCAAAACTCTGGAGGGATTAGTGGCAGATTTGCATCCCAAGGGAATTTTGCTACCTTGTTTACAAGAGCTACATTCCCCTTAATGGGAGGTGATGGTAACAGTCACAAGGACTCCTCAAATACCACCCAGCAGAGCCAGGGCAAACAGCCTGGAGAGTCCTGGCAGGTGAGACAGCAGGAGCAGCATTCAGAGCACTTGGGAGGGGAGCTAAACCCAGCCAGTCCTCCAAAGCAGGGCGTTCTTGGTGTGCTTTTGGAAGCCATACAGCCACCCACCATGTACCAAACATAGTGGCTGTCAGCATGATTTCCCCAGCCCAGGGTGGAGAGTCTCTTATTCAGAGGATTGTGCTATCAACTCCTTACGGAGGTGCTGGATAGAAACACGGTGTGACAGATACCATAATTTCCTAAAACATCTCTGGGAGATTTTATTGAATTAAGGTTAAATAGCTTTGGAGTCCATGGTATTCTGAAAGCAAAATGTATGTATGGCAGTGGGATTGTGTGTAAATTCTCTAAGGGGGAGACATGGCCAGTGTAAGCACTGGGGTGTGGCATGAACTTCGAAGGACTATTTGAAACAATGTGCCAGACCAGAAAGAACTTGCAGGACCACCAAAGGAAATACCTGGCAGAAGGGGAATGCAAATTCTCACTTCCAGACTCCATCTTTTGAAGCTACGCCCTGGGGAGAGAACTACGGTCTGGCTGATTATCTATGCATGGTCTCTGCGAAGCAAAGCCCCAGACTGGATAAAGGAGGAAGACTCAAATTCATGGTGGTTCTTGTTCTGAACATGTAACCACAGAAACCCCCGTGTGGGGTGTGAAGGACTGACTCCTGCCAGAGGCCTGGGTGGAGTTGGGGTGATCTCCGGTGAGCTTGTTAGTAGGCAATTAGGTTCTTTTATTAGGTTAATGTGTTTTCTCTCATATGTTTTCACCTTGCGAATAAATGTGCTTGGAAGAGGTGGGTGGTACGGTCTAACTGTGGGAAATTACGCTGTTTAGAGTTGTGCGGAAAAGGCAAAGCAGAGACGTTGGCCTTTTAGGCAGTCGGACTTGCTGGGGAATTCATAATGTAGGCAGTGAACTGTACAGCCTGGAAAATCCCGGTCAGATGGGAGAGAGATACGGGTCTTTGCCCAAAAGGTGACAGCTGAGGAGCCAAGGGTGGGTGCCCTTGGTGGAATGTGAGGAAAATACAGGTGCAGGAGCCCTCAACGCAGACACATGGCACGGGGGGGGGGAGAAGGGGGTGTCACTAATGATCAGAGAACTGATGCTGCAGACACGGGGGGTGCGCACATGTGCAGGAATTGTTTCCACGAGCGAGGACAGGGAGCAGGTTCTGGGAATTTTTGCAGAGTAGAATCCCACCCCCTCCTCCCAACAGAGTCAACCCACTTCCGCTCCCAGTACCGATTCAAGGTAATGCAGTTCTAATTGTCCGCTGAGCGACACTAGGGCCTCCTGCCACTAAGGCTTCGTTTGGTTGTAAGACTTGTCCACACTAGGCGGTAGCAGTTCTAGGAGCCCAAGGGGAGGTAGGTTACCGTCACCTCTGGTGTTTTAAGCCCCATATCATTTAGTCAACTGACCGCAGTCGGGCTCTCCCCCTTGCTATCAGCGGTGGAGATAAATAGCGTAGTCCCCAGTGTAGACGAGGTCTTAGATCTTGGAGCTGGCTACCATCAAGAGAGTCATCTGGAGTCAGTAACCCATGCATCAACCTGGGGAGGGCTTTTCAAAATCACATCCAACACCAAGACCCACCCCAAGGTTTTTATACATTTGCCCATCACCATGGTCTCCAGTTGCCTAACCTAGCTCCCAGAGAGGTGAGCCTTGGGCGAGTACAAATCTAGATAGACAGAGACACACGCACACACACACACATATACACAGAGCTGGGACTTACACAGATCTCATGCGTGGCTTCCTTTCCATCTTTACTGAGCAGAATGCAAAAATTATCCTTCTGATGCAAGTAGAAAATTTAGAAATTAGTCAAAGGCACATATTCTAAAAAAAAAAATCTCTTTACATATATACATCTCAATTCATTATAAATACACACAGAAAAACAAAGGCAAACAAACAAGCGGATTAAAAAGTGCTAACAAAAAGGTGTAAGGAAGGGAAAAGGATTCATTTAAAAAAATACATACAATCAGTAGGACAACTGCATAATAATTTAGTTAAAAGAGACTGTTACATATTATTAACCCTGACAAAAACACAGGATCGGGTGGGGAAAGTATTTTCTTGAAGGTGCCCTGTCTTTTCCAGAGATTGGGAGAGAAGAATTGCATATATCTTAGAATTAAAACAGCAACAAAACCACCACATAAAACTCCCGGTCATATTTTTTGGGGGACCCACTGGTGTGGGCGGATAGAAAGAGAGCACCTGATGATTATTCCTGAGTTTACGCCTGTTTGAAATTGGTTTTCTTGGTGTGTTTTTTAACTTTTGCTGAGAGTTTGACAGGTGCCCAAATGAATGACAAAGAAATTAAATAAGGGCTCAGGGGTTCCAAGGATTTTCAAAGATTCTCTCTGAGTGTCATGAATCCAGGGAGCATTATAAATAGAGTGGGGGAGTGTATTCGACAGAACCAGGGAGGGGCCTGCCTTTATCTAGGCCTGGAAAAGGGATGTTCTCTGATCACAAGAAAGGGGCATCTTTGCTGTCTGCCTACAAGAGGCCCCTTCCTTGGCAATTCAGGTGAATGCACGAGCGGAACAAGACGGGACAGGACTTTTGTGCACACGCAGCGCAATGCAAGGCTCTCCAGCAGCTCAGCGCAGAGGTGGGTTAGTGCAATTAAGTGATAAACTAGGAAGAAAACTAGAGAGATTCCTGGGGGTTGGAAATGCACCACCAAGGATAGGCGCATTCCTGCCAAACAATGGATCATGTCATCTGGACTTCACAGTTTGGGCTTCCAGTTTCAGGGGGGATTTTTTCTGATCTTTGGTGTTTAGTCGGAGGCCAGGGGGCATAGAGGATATCTCGAATTCTACTCAGAACTGGCCCCTGCAAAGCCCTCCATCTCCTGGGAAGTGGGGGAATGGCAGGGCCTGCCCAGCACATGATGGGCACTGCTGAAATCTAAATAATAAACCTCCTCCTCCTTCCTGGCCGGGGAGAGGCAAAGGGTGTAAAAAGACACAGGACCCTCGAACGAAAGGCGGGAGACCACACCTGGACTGGCCTAGAGCGCAGGGCCTACCGTGTGCAGGGCGAGGAGGGGGGAGTGAAGTGGGAAGAGAAGGAGACCATGGTCCACTGGCTTGGGAGACTAGGTGCTTCCCTGTCCCCCAGGCAGGACGTGCTACCAATACTTTGCACTGGGTTACAGAGGTCACAGCACTTTAGAAAGGTAGGGGAATATCACATCCCTGTGTTACAGATGGGGAAACTGAGTCACAAAGAGAAGGCAGCTGGTTGCTAAACTCTGCTAAGTGAGACAGATCAGGTGACAATCACCGAAATCTCCACCTGTGGCTGGGGATCTCTCTGCAGGGGGCAAGAACACCCCACTCCACCATTAACTCCTCTTACAGCTTTGGGCAGATCCCACTGATGGTCCTGCTCCAGCACAGATCTCCCCACTCCACGCCCCCCAGGGACTTGCTGTGTCTGGTAAGAATTAGCCAAGGAAGGGTGTGTGATGGGCAATGGGAGCTCTGCATGCTAAAGAGGCAGGACCAGACATTGGGGTCACACTTCCTCCCCTCCAGAACGCCGGGCATGCTCCCGGAAATGCCAGGATGACTCGACTCAGAAAAAGGACGAACACGGGAATGGCTGAGGCAGCGAGAAGAGTGTTACAGCACAGCCAGGCGAACGCTGCCAGCCGGGAGGGGCGGGCGCAGACTCCCTGCCCTGGGGCTGACAGGGACGCACTGCCAAGGAAACAAAAACCATTGTCTGAGTAAATAAAAAAAGCAGGTTTACTACAGAGCTGCCCAAGTCAGAGGCGGCTGCAACGTCAGAGCTCGCTTGAGGCAGGTCCATGACCCTAGGAGCAGTGTCGCTGTCGGGGTGCTGTGCGCCTCTCCGTTTGGATTGCATCCATTCTGTGTAAAGCTAGCAGCCCCTGCAGCATGAAGCCTAGCAAGCTACTGGTCCAACAGGCCCGTGCTTCTGCTCAGGGCTACTGCTGGTGGGAGGAGCAGGGTGTGGCGTGCCCGGGAGAGACTATGGGGGTGCGCTGCTCAGGTTGGCTAAGCAGGAGTTTGCTCTTTGGTATTCAAAGTGGAGCCGGCTGTAACAGCCATTGAAATCAACAGTGGCCTGTGTTGGAGCTTTAAGATCCAGACATGGGGCCCCTCCTGCTTTCCCGGACTCAGGCCTGGCCCCGCTGCCCAGCTGCGAACGAACCCATTGGAACGGTACTAGCCAGTTGGCTCCAGGAGAGAATGCGACAGAGAGCAAGACTTGGAAAGCGCGGCCACGCTGCAGCTGCCGCCACCACAAGGAGCCCCGGGGCTGAGCGTGCAGACTGGCCAGCAGCCATCAGGCAGAAGAGGATGATGGGAAGGCTGGCCAGGGGCTAAGGAGTTCATTGCTGAATACTGATAAAGTGGGCACATTAGTGCAGAAGAGTTGTTCCCCATCCCATTGGGGAAGTCAGGGCAGCCCAAAGCATGTCAGTTTCCCCTCCCAAGAGAAAGGGGTGGCATGGACTAACTGGAGAGCAGAGAGCGAGAACATGACCTGTAGTCAGTTGAATGTCTCTCCAGCTGGCCCCACCCAATCCTACACAGATGGATGCTTTAGCTCAGTGGTTCCCAGCCTGCACTGGGACTTCTGTCACTTCCCCCGCGGTCCCCGCCTCTGTATTAGGCCCAAGTGCCTGCCCCCCATTCCCTCAAGACTCTGGTGTTTCGAGTGGCACCAAGCTCCAGGGCTGGGATGGAAGAGCCCAAGTGTGAGCCTGGCTCCGGCTGACCCAGCCAAGCTGCCCACAACGGCTGGGAACCATGGCTTTTGCCATCACTGACACTCTGGTAACAGGATCGCTTTGGGGGTCAGAACGTTTCCGTCTGCCGACACTGCAGTTAGCAGCTGCTGCACACGCCCCGGGGAGAGGGGGGTGAATCCCCCTTTCAACTCTGTAGTCGGTGTGGAGATGGGTGTGGGGAGGGGCTGGGGCCGTCAATGGCTCTCCTCTCTGTCCTACCTGGGCGCGGTTGTTTGAGCAGGTCCATCCCGCTGCAGAGGACATGGGTCCCGATCAGCTGAGCTCTGTGATAAAAGCACTTTGCCACCCCCACCCCCCTTTATACACATGATATGTACAACTCTATACATGTGTGGCTGTATATTATATATAAATAAACTTTGCTGTAAGGAATACGCGATCCCCCTGCCCCCGAACTGAGACACGTGGGTCATTGCAAAGCAATACAAGAGCCAGGGCTCCCTCCGCGCCAGCGCTCCTGCCAAAGGCAGGCAGGCGAGAGGCTAGGGAGGGGCACAGTGCCTGTGTCTGAGCCCCACCCCGGCCCTCAGCTGGCCCCTCAGAAGTGTTCAAAGGGCCTGGTGAACTGGATGACGCTCTGGCGCTCCTGGGAGAGCGCGCTGTCCTGAGGGGCCACGTACAGCGTCCTCAGCATGTCTTCCAGCACCTCCTTGAAATTGATGTTCTCCTGCTGGGCTAAGTCTTCCGGCGGCAGCTGCTGCTGCGGCAGTGTCTGCAGGTGGTCGGGATGGGGGAGAGGCACGTGGTCGTGCGGGGACGAGTTGAGAGGCATGTTCCCCGCCAGAGCTGGGGCCGGGCTCTCGAAGACAGGAGGGAGGCTGAAATGCAAGGGCATCCTGTGCTGCTGGTGTGGCTGGAGAACAGGCTCCGGTGGGAAGTGTAAAGCGCCCAGGGATTCGTGCTTCAAGGCCAGGTTGGAGAGGCTGTCGCTGGGAGGGCTGTAGGTCAAGTCCAGGATCTCGTCCTGGTGCAGGGAGTGTCTGGGCAGGGGGAGCCTGGCCACAGGCTGGCAGAGGTCATGGGGCTGCTGCAGGACATGCTGTGGCATGGAGTACGGCAGGCTCCGGTCCTGGGCCAGAAGGGCCTGGTGGTTATGCTTCTGCTTTACATTCTCGTCCATCTGCTTCAGCTCCTCCCGCACCCTATGGACGCAGCTCTCGGGGATCTTTATCCCTGGGAGATGGAACATGCTGTGTCAGCCCCCAAAGCACCTGAGCTCCTGGGAGTGGGACCCAGTGTCTGGGCTAATCGCATCCCTCAGCCCCCCCTGCCCCCCCCAGGCTGCCAGTTTCACTGCCTACACAGCAAGCTGCATCCCCACAGCTCTGCAGCCCTGTCCTAGGCTTGGCAGCAGAGGAGACAGCAGGCGGTCCGCAGACAGGTTCCCAGACTGCGCTAGTGGGATGGCATCAGTAGTCCCTGCAGTGAAGGGTGCCAGGGGGCAGGCGTGTAGTGGGCAGCAACAGCACTGCCTTCACACCCAGACCTGAGCAGAGGGTGCACCATGCCTGGGACATGCCCAAATGCTGGGCTAATTCCCCTTCCCCACTCCACCCCAGGGATACAGATCCCCTGCTCCATGCCAAGGCCTGGCCCGGAGCATGCAAAGTGAATGGGCCGGGAGTTACATGCTTCTCCTGCTCTCATCCCACAGGATCTCCTTAATCACAGAGCTGCCCGGTCTGGATCGGGGAGAGGAGAGAGACCTGCAGGGCCCTGCTTGGAAAAGGAGGGAATCCAGGAACCCCACCACATCCCCCTGAAACATGGCATGCAGCTCACTTCCCCTTCCCTGCCACCACAGCGCCGCCCAGCACGCTGACCCCTGCACTCACCAACTTGTTTTTTCTTCTCCTTGGTCTTGAGGCGGACGATCTGCAGGTAGCTGGTGTTGGTGATGTCCGACATGATGCTGGCGATCTTGCTCCAGACCCGCAGCAGCGCGCCGCACAGCATGTAGTAACGGCGCAGGCGCATGCCCTGGAAACACTCCTTTCCCTCTTGGATTAGTTTGCAGGTTCTGTTCCTTCAGGTTTGCAGAGAGGAAGAGAACAAGAGTTACCAGCAGCCCCTTCCCCTGGCTTGTTGTGGGTGGGGAGTGAGTGGAAGGAGGATGCCCCTCTCCTCCCCCGCAGGTGGCTGACCCCAGATGCGGGGCGGCAGGGGGCTAGCTCCTGCAGTATTAGTGGGGACCCCTGGGACAGGCCAGGCAAAGCAGCTCACAGAAGAAGCAAGATCACGCAGAGCGGTGAAGACCCTTTAATGCAGAGCCAGAGCCAGCAGCAGCTACCCCGGTTTGGACAGGGCTCTGTCTCTGGGAAGGACAGGGCTCCGAGCTTCCCCAGCAGGGAGCCCAGAGTAGGCCAGGCCCTCTGGCACTGGGCGTCACTTACCAGACGGCGTGGTTACACTTTGTGAAGGAGAAGAGGTAGCTGCTCTCCCAGTGTTCCTTGGCTTCCTCGGGCCGCACCTGCAAGGGACACCGCCAGAGGCCAACTTAGACTTTTACTTTTCCACTCTCCTCAGGGTGGTGGAGGGCTAAGGCCCCGCACTGGGAGTCAGGACACCTGGGTTCTATCCCCAGCTCTGCCAGACGGGAAGGGACTTTGGGCAAGTCACAGCACCTGTGTGCCTCAGTCTCCCCAGCTGTAAATTGGGAACAGTGATTCCTGCCAGGAGTGCCGAGAGGCTCCACTGATCGGTGTGCAAGGCACGCTGAGGTGCACACGTGGCAGCTAGACAAGGGCAAGCACGGAAGGTACGGCTGATTTTCCCTTTCCCCCTGTGCTGACGGCAGTGTTGGCATTTGAACACACGGGAGCAAACAACCCCCGGACACGCTCTGCCAGGCAGGGAGCAGAGCGCTGATCCGTTGAGTCCGATACTCTGCATCCAGCCCTGGCAAAGGGCAGCCAACCCCCCCATGCACTCTGAGCCCCTCATGCCAGCACTCCTCTCCCGGTGCCCGCCGTACCCCTCTGGGGCGTCAGCGTTGGGTCTGAAGAACACTGACCTGCTGAGAATTCGGACGGACGTGTCCCAGCTCAGCCCCACGCTGGCGCCAGGGGGAGATTTGCTGTGCATGCCTCTGGGAAGGCAGAGCCCATCCCTACATCTCTGCCTACAGAACCATGCGCCTGCAGAGCTTTGCTCCCAGGGGAGCGTTCGGCCCCAAGGACTCTCCCCTCTGCCCCGACCGTGGTTGGGTCACAGGTTCCTTGATCAGCTGCAATTCCCATGTGCAGAGGGCAGCCGGGGCACAGGCAGTGTCCCTCCCGCTCAGCCTTGCGGGAGATGGAGGGGAAGGGCAGCAGCTGGCTCCTGCGGCTCCCACCTACCTGGCGGTACTTCTTAAAGAGGCTTTCGAGGCTTTCGGGCTGGCTCTGCTTGCCGATGTTGGGCTTGTAGAGGATGAAGTTCTTCCCGCGGCCCTGCTCCGCCAGCAGGCAGGTGTATTTACAGCCTCGCGTCTGTGGGCACAAGGTGCACCGTTACACTCGCGTGCGCCATGGGCGGATTGGACGCGGCGCCTCCCCAGAAGGGCCACGCTTCCAACATATGTCTGCACCCCTGCTTCCGAGAGCGGGGCGGCTGACGGGGACGCTGGCTCTGCAGCGGCCGTACACTGGCGGCAGGGGAATTCCAGTCGGCACCCTCCCCCATTCACTCCTCCTGCCGTGAGCTGGGCTCACTCCATGGCGGGGAATGCGCTGTCCGAGCGGATATGGCTCCAGGAACAAGGATCTTTTTGTTACTCCCGTTACAATCTCCCTCCTCCCCCACCCTCGGCCTTTTGAAGTCAACCCCCCTCCTGCGCTGGGCAAAACGAAACTGCAGCTCCTCAGAGGCTTTTCTGGGCCCCTGGTGACCGGTCAGCGAGGCATCGATTGTTGCCACTGGCCTCTTGCTGGCTGCCAACAACCAGCCGCCCCCGCTGGAGCCCATCTCAGACGTGTGGGGCAGCAGCCCTGGTGGCGCTGGGGAGTTCACCTTGTGGGAGAGGTAGAAGCCGTCGTAGGTGCCCGTCAGTTTGAGCGATTTCTCGTAGGCCTCCTCCCACTTCAGGCCTCTGTCGACGCTGATCTAACAGGACAAATGAGAACCCTCGTGTTTTATGGATGGCAGGTGTCGGAGTATCCGTCCCCCCCCTTCTCTCTCACAAACACTCTCTCTCTCTCTCTCTCTCTCCTTAGCCTAAAGATGAGCAGACCCCGCATTCGCCCTGCTTCCCGTCTCCCATCATTCCCATGGCAACGATAGCAATTGCTTCCATGGTAGAGTAACCGGGGGAAGCACTGGCTGCCGTGTAGCAACTACAACTAGGCACATGCGGCACAGACCACAGCCGCTCTGGCAGGAGGAAAGGCAGGAGAGTGTGAAGCCCAGACAGTGTGTAAAGGTGAGTGGGTGGGCAGAGCGGTACCGAGATCTCTGCCAAAACATGCCCCATGGGACGGGAGCGTCCGGGAAGTGCCATGCTGGAGACCCAGCAAGGATGCCTGCCAGCTCGTTCAGCTCAGGGAACTGGGGTTGGGCAAGGTGCCCCCCGTGCCCAAGCAGGGAAGAGGACACTTTGGCTGCTGAAGTACCCATGTGCTAGGATGGGGATGAGCTGATGGGCAGAGACTCTCCTTGGCTCCTGTGTACAGCGCCTAGCACAAGAGGCCCTGATCGGGGTCTCCTGGCACCACTTCAATACCAGCGTGCGGGACAGAGTCTCCTTCCTGAGGCTGCGCAGCCTACACCTGGACAAGGAGGACCAAGATCCAGGCCAGGAACAACAGCCGGAGCGAGGGCTGCCCAAGAGCGGCTATGTGCTCTGGGTACCCATGGACAGGGCTGCCCTGGCAGAGACCTTACCTAGCCCCTTACCTCATAGAAAACCACCTGCCCGTCCTGGGGATGCCCTGGGGTCAGGAAAACCTCCTGGCTCTCCTCGTAAATCTCATCCACGCCGGGGGCTAAGTCTGTGGAGGCAGCAGAAAGAAACAGCCCTTAGACCTCTGGTGAGTGGCAGAGCTCCACGTCGCAGCCTGGCCACCTCCATTTACTCCTGGGGTTCCCAGCCCCGCCCCCCGGGAGCTCTGCACTGGTTCAGCCAACCCTTATGGTGCAACAACTCCCTCCCGTTCATTGCAGGGCAGGGATCAGGCCCGGGCCCTGCAGCTGGGGGGTTATTAGGGGAAGCTGAGAGTCCCTAATCCCACAGCCCCTCAGCTGCCCTGCAGCCTGCTCTTCTCTGGGGGTTTGTCCTGCTGTAGGAGACCCACCAAGGTCTGGGCACCAGAGCGTCCTGGGCCGTCAACCTGGGGATGCCGTTCCCCCAAGCCCGTCCCGAGCATTCTTCCTGTGAGAGAGCACCCAGTGCAGGCTTATCACCAGCCAGGGCCCCCACCTTCCCCTCCACCACCCATCCTCTCCAGCTTAGGGCAGGCACGGAGCCCTTCAGAGCGCTGCTCCCTTCCCCTGGATTAGCCAGTGGAGTCACGGCACTACCATCTTCTCCCAGCAACCCACCCCGTAGGCTGAGGCACAGGGGCAAGCTCCTAGCACTCGAAAGCCTAGGCAGGGCTAAAGAGGCTGGGGTTTGAATCCCGCTCTCCTGATGGGTGCTGACCTAGCATGGAAGGGCACCAGCTTCTCTAGGTCTGAACGCCCAGCTGGGGGCGGGGTCACCAGAGTGTGAAGCCCAGACCAGATCAAGAGCTAATGGGAGCGTAGGATGCACAGAGTGTAGGCAGCCCAGTCACACCCAGCATCCGGCACAGAAAGCCACTGGCCATTGAAGAAGTGCCTGGGTTTGAAGGGTGCAGCAGCGGGGGACATGACACCAGTGGGCTCCCAGCAGGGAGGAGTTTCCCCCCCTCTCCCTTCTCCTACCTAAGATGCCCATGTCGTATTTGCCCTCCTTCTTGTCCTTCTCAATCAGGTGGTCGAAGGTGTCGGTGAAGTACTGGAAGAGCATGTTCTGCTTGTGCACCTCCAGGCCCAGGATGCGATTCAGGAACTTGGTTATGGAGCAGTCTGCAACGGAGAGCGCAGCTCAGGGTAGGGAATCTGAGCAGCTCAGTGACAACTCCCCCTCCCCCCACCATCCCAGAGAGCAGGGGAGCACCTCTGCTTTCTCCAGGAGAGCCGGCAGGGGGACCCATTGGAAGCCAACACTGCCGGGGCCCCTAGAGCTTGGCTGGTAGTCAGGCTGGGCCTCGCAGACCAAGGATTGGCAAAGATGCTCTGCTTCTGCTGGCCAAGCACCTGCAGAGCTTCCCTCCGGCTTCCCAAGTGCTGCATCCCGCGCCGGCTACAGGACAAGTCTGACGTGCGCCAGGAGGACGGCAGCAAACGTGTGCTACGGTAACTTAGTGTTGTCCCTTAGCCTGTCCCTCCACAAGGCGGGGAGGAGATTCCAGGCTTACCCTTCTCCACCGATACGTAGCCGTATTTCATCTCCTTGCAGCAGATCCCGACCGAGATGAGACCTTGTTTCATTTCTAGAATGACAGAAGGGGAAGCACATGCCTTGAAGGTTGTGAGCTGTCGTGTGGCCTCCACCCCAATGCCACGAAGTCCCTCATATCTCAGCAGTCCTGCTACAGGGCTGCTTCCCCTGTTTGCTGAGATGGCCACTCCCCCGATGACAGAGAGGGCAATCTCCTGGCAAAGTCTTATTGAATTAAGGTGAAGTAGCTTTGGAATCCCCCTTGTATTAAAAATGTGGTGTTGATGTATTACGGTGGGACGGTATGTAACTTCTCTGGGGGGAGCCGTGACCGAGGTAAACCCTGGGAAGTGTCAGGAGCGTCAAAGGACTATTGGAAACAAATGTGCCAGACAAGAATGAACTGTGGCAAACAAGTAACGTGGGTTTCCCACCCCCTGGTTGTGCAAAAGCCTGGCCGTTTTGACGCTACCCCCCGAGGAGACAGCAAAGGCCCAAGCCGCATAAAGGAACAGGCTGATCTGCGCAGTCTGTGTGCTTGTTCTGAACTAACAGCTGTTATGGACTTGAAAATCCCGCATGTGGGGCTGGAAGGACTGACTCCTACCAGTGGGAGTTGGGGTGATCTCTGGTAAGCCTATTAGCAGGCGGGCAAGTTCTTTTGCCACGCTAATGATTTTCTCTGTTGTGCTTTCACCTTGAGGATAAATGTGCTTGCTCAGAAAGGGCGAGGTGGTATTTGCTAACCGTGGGCCATTACGCTGTTTATAGCCTCTCAGGGGAAGGCAAAGCAGGCCTGCGTAGCCAGTCTGACTTGCTGGGGAATTCACAGTGTAGGCAGGAAACTATGCAGCCTGGACATATCCCGGTCAAGAGGGAGAGAGGCACGAGTTTCCACCCAAGAGAGGTAGCAGCCAGGAGCCTAAAGTGGGTGCCTTTACTGGCCCACAAGGGGGAAATACAAGTGCAGTTGCCCTGAACTGTGTCACCCCAGTAAGAAAAGATCCCACCTCTGCATTCTCCCACGCCTGGGGAGGGGCACTGCCACCTGGCTCACCCCACTGCCTCGCTTACCATAGAGTGCTGCCCCTCTCCCCACCTCTGTCTCTAGATGTCCACGTCAGCCTGCTGTTGGCCCCTTTAGTGTCTTCTCCCCCCAGGAGGAGGGAAATGAATGGCTCCGCGTGCCCGCTCCAGCTTTCCTGCCAGTGATCTATCCCTACCACACACTAACTGAGCCAGCAAGAAGCACTTTCAAGTAGAAACCCCAGTTAATGTTCTCACCTTGAAAAAATTCATCCTCTCGTTCCTGGTAATACTTGGGCAGAGGCACTTTGCTCTTAGTCTGGTTGAGGATGGTAGTGAGGACCCTGTCTAGCGCTCTGGTCCCGTACTGTGGAAAGGAGAGAACAGTCACAAGGGGATGGGGAGCAGCTCTGTCCTCTGATCTCACTACACACTTTAGGGGTGGAGAAGGGATCTCAGATGCTGCTTTCCCCAGCAATGAGTGGGAAGCACGTAGACATCCTGGCAGATGCTGAAGTAGATGCAGCCACCGGAGGCATGTCCATCAAGAACCTGATGGATAACTAATGTGTTTGGGTACAGACCCAAGTCAGGTAGCTGGTCTCACCCATGAGTCTTCTTCCAGCCCTATGAGAGGCAAGGCCTAAGCACAGGAGGGAGAGGCAGTGTGCCTAGTGGATGGGGTACTGATCTGGGACTCAGGCAACCTGGGTTCTCTTCCTAGATCTACTATTGGTTTGCTGGGTGAACTTGGGCAAGTCACCCCCGGTATGTGCCTCAGTTTCCCCACCTGTAAAATGGGGATAATACTGACCTCCCTTAGAAAACGCTTTGAGATCTGCTGATGAAAAGTGTTACATAAGAGCTGGGTATTACTATTATTGGGAACTTATGAGGTCCTGGCCCGACCCCAAATTCCCTTTGTGCATGTAGGCAAGTCAAGCAGCATCTCTGCCTCAGTTTCCCTGTACATAAGACCAGGATACACCTCTCTCCTTCCTGCAGGGTGTTATCATATAATATCAGGGTTGAAAGGGACCTCAGGGACCCTGCTCAAAGCAGGACCAATCCCCAGACAGATTTTTACCCCAGTTCCCTAAATGGCCCCCTCAAGGATTGAACTCACAACCCTGGGTTTAGCAGGCCAATGCTCAAACCACTGAGCTATCCCACCCCCCTTATGAGGATTGAGGTCTCTAAAGCTCTCTTATTATGCTCTCCGTATGTTTGTAGTTTGTGCCAAAACCAAGAGCTTTGTTCCCAGGGCTCACAAGAGCAGATCCCTAACCTGCCATGACCTGTCAACCCCAGCCCTGGCTCTGGCCATGCTCAGTGTCCTACCAAAGGGGTGTGCTGGTTATTTTAAGCTTGCTAAACGACCATGCAGAATTGCTAACAGTCACCTTATTCTCAAAGTTGTACTTGCTGAGGTCTCTGGATTCCGTGGCTCTTCTATCGCCGTGAGTTAAGGCACCCTGGAAGAAGAGACAAAGCCCAAAGCTGTTCAGAAAGGTTGGGGAAGAGACTCACTGGGAAAAGCAACTGCATCCATAACAAAGCTCAGTGAACCCCTGATTAAAGACTGACTCCTAAGGTGACCCCATGTCAGAGGACTGTATCTGATCGGCTTCAACAGCGTGCGCCGGGATTGTTGAAGATTATCACAAGCCAGCTCTGGTGTCTGGAAAATGCCACTTTTCTTCCAGATATCTGAGGCATCATGTGCCACCCGGCTGGCGTGTGAGACACCATGTTCAACCTAAACACAGTGATTAGATTACACGCCACCTATATTTTCATATGTAGGTTTTTCCATTAATTTGAGCAAATAATCAGGGAGGGACGGTTTAAAAGTAGAGCAAGTTTCACCAGAAGTCAGTACATAGACATGCTAAGGGAAGACAGCGAGGTGCTAGTATATTAACACTCAGAGATACTCATGGATTCATTAGAAATGATGAAACACTGAACTGAGGCAATGATAGCTTATGGTCATTAAAGAGTATTTCCTTCCTGGAAAAGAATGGGTGTTCACTCCTGCCTGCTGGGAAATTCCAACATCCCGATTTATAATCTACCTCCCCGAAATTCCCCTGCCATCCCAATTACGTAGAGTATTCTTCACTTCCTGTTCTGCAGGCTGTTAAACAGCTTCCTCGTTTCGCGGCAGAGGTGGCTGCACGTCAGCCCAGGGTGACGCAATCCCTCGCCTGAGTTCTGTTTGGGACCAGAGGTGCCCCAGACGCAGAGTCACTCGGAAATGTTCAGATCCAGCATGGGTTTTATTTCTAGCCATCCTCCGGGGCACTTACAAGGCTCTCCAAGCGTTTCGCGACAATGGACGCGAACCTCCTCTCCCCCGCCAGCTCAGAGATAAGGAAGACGTACTCCGGAGCAGAGACCTGGTTCGATCGGTGCGTTCGACCTGGAGAGAGATGGGGGTGAATGACGTGGAAGCTGACACGATCATGGGAACAGCTGCTGAGAAGGAAGTGGGGAACACAGACAAACGAGGCAGCTTCCCTTAGAGCACCTATCGGCTTTGAAACCAAACCCAACGCTTCTCTTCTGGGGAGGGGGGACATAGCTTCTCTCATCGGCTTTGTGCTGCCAGACCTTTCCACCTGGCACTGCCAGAGCAGGGCTGCTGCCCTGACCTCTCCAGGATCACAGCAGGGTGGCCAGTCACAAAAATCACTCGAGTTTTAAAGTGGAGCCGTACATTCATTTCCTCTACTGCTCTTGTGAGGAGAGGCTGGCTTCACCCCAGGCACAGAGCATGGTCAGGTGCCATGCTAGCTTCACACACACACAACTCTGCCGATGCATCCCAATCCTGGATGCACCATGAGCTGACACTCCAGTCCAGCCCTTCACTTCCCCCTACACATGGGCAGCACTCCTAGTTATTCCAGTTCAAAGGTTCTTTGGCATTGACAAGTGTCCCCTATGTACCAAGATGGGACCCAGAACAGGATCTGGGGGGAGCAGCCAGTGCACCAGCCCAGTGCTCTGCTCCCACAGATAAGCTACCCCTCCCCCTTGATCAACTACACCCCACCCCAAGGCAGCTCTGCATCTTTCCCTGAAGGAAAGTTGATCACAGCTGCCTTGTGCCTGGACTGGTCCTGGCAGGCTGCATGAACCCCATGTTTCTGGGGCTAGCCCTTTGTGCCACTGAACACAATTGGACTCCCTGTGGCTCCAGAAGGCGGCCAGGCGGGTGTTTCGTTTGCAGGGCTGCTAGAAAATCACAGGGCTGAACTACACCCCGTATCCAATGAGCAGAGGGAGAAAGTGACTGAGAATGTTCGGCGCTCACCAAACTGCTGTATGGCTCGGTCTGCACTCCAGGGCAGTTCCAGTGTCATGTGGACCCGGCGCTTCTGGTTCCTCACCCGCCTGTCTGCTTGGAGAGAGATCCCTGAGCTGGAGGCCTCGGAGATTATTGCTACGAGCTGAGAGAGACACAGCAGGAGTGAGGAGACGTAATGGTATTCTCAGAGATCTGGGAGAACGGCTACATGGAAAGCATTCAGGGGCAGGCCCAGAGAAATCCCAGGACACAGTTCGTCCTGACCCACAGAAGGACCCCTGCTTCCGTGTCACTTCCCAGCAGGTCAAGCCAGCACAATTCATGTTCATTTTATGGGCCTGAGGGGTTGGCACAGCTGTCTAGTGCTCTGCCCAGCTTGTGTGAGAGATCTGTATCCTTGGCCTCCATCCTAGGGCCAGCAGGGTGTTCAGACCCTGGGGCAGGCAGTCTCACAGGACACTCTGCAGTGCCCCCTCTGGCCACTGCAAGAGCAGCATTTCTAGGTTCTACAGTCACGCCCAGCTCTCCTCTGGAAAGCGAATGGTCAAGTGCCAGGCTTCCAGGGTGAAGCGCAAAGGGACTGACGGAGACAGGCACACACATCTGGGGCAAGGCAGTGACTGCAAGGTCCCATCATGCATCTGGGGTAGCCGCCCACAAGCACTATGCCAATCCATAACTTCTCCAGTGTGCAGCTGCAGGGGTCTCTGGTTCAGAGCCTCACTCACCTTTTCCCCACTCATAAAACGCTCCTTCTCCTTCAGGTTGACGTGGTCTATGGAGAGGCCCTGCTCAGCCCGGGACTCATACATGATGGAGCCGTCAGGTCTGCTCACCACCCGGCCTTTCCGGCCAGTCATCTACATGACCGCCAGGGAAGAAACAGGTCATTAATGAGAGACAGACAGACAGACAGAGTGGGGGCGCAGGGGTGAAATGGAGCATTTGGGAAGTAAATGTTATGGCAGACACATGGGCAAGGGTCTATACTGGCCAAACCTGGAGCAATAAACTGCGTCCGAAGGGAATTTTTGCCCTGGAGACTACTTTTTACAATTAGGGAAACTGAGGCAGTGAAGTAACTAGTCCAAGATCACAGTAAGGAAGTGCCAAGAGCACAGTAAATAAGTAGTAGGGAGTCCCAGCCAGTCCTGGATTGGGAAGAAGGGGGTTACAACCCAGGGCCTCAAGGTGAGGAAGATAATGCAAAAAGCATAAAGGGACGGAGATCCCTCAGGGAGCTCCTCCTACCCCGCCATCACACACTGGACAGGCACGGTCAGGAACTAAGGTCTTGTCTACACTAGGGACCTTATAGCTATCCCAATGCAGCTGCGTTGCTGTAAGATCTCCCGTGGAGCCGCCCTGTGCCGACAGGGGAGAGCTCTCCCGTTGACATAATTTAATCGCCTTCAATGAGGGAGTAGCTGTCAGCAGGAGAGCTGTGGACACCAGCGCTTCGGTCGGCGAAACTGATGTCGCTCAAGGGGGTGGTTTTTTCACACCCGAGCGACATACGTTTTGCCGATGTAAGTAGTAGTGTAGACATGGCCTTAGCCCCCAGGAGCTATGATGTTAGCCAGCGGCTGCCCACTCAGATGTGAACCAACCGTGGGTCTGGGAGCACAACACAACCTCTCCAAGGGCTGGCATTATGGTACCCTCTAGTGGTTAGAGCCATGAACAGCAGGTTGAGCTGCAGTGCCCAATGCCAGGCGACCATAATACGACATACCTCTGCCACGTACTCCGGGCCCCCAAAGTGATTAATCAGCTCATCCAAGGTATTGAGAGGTAGCTCTTTGCCCAGTGCTTTTACTTTTGATAGGAGGTCCTGTTTCATTTTCTCCACGTGTTCTAGCACTCCCGGGCCATACACATCCTTCTGGGACCCTGGCAAGTGCAAACTGCCTGCAATGTTGAAAGGTAGGTGCTTAGAGTCCAGCCAGGGGATGGCAAGGAACACAGCAGCCACAGAGCTTGGGACCAGTGTGAAGAAGAACCATAGAGCGACCCAGATTGAGGCTCAAGAGAGGAGGGGTCTGATTGAGAGAGTAAGGACTGCTACTGGGCGTGTGTTGATGAGTGCGTAGCAGGACAGATCTCTCACGCAGGCTGGTATTCCACACTCCACCCCACCCCCCAAGTCTGACCACAACTAGGTATAAATCAGCTAAAAGCCAATCGTTCTATTATACAAACATCAGTTTGCTTTTAACGCGGGAGTGGGGGCTCCCCCACTTGGGCAGTGCAGGATAGCCAAGCAAGTCTGCGTTAGCCTGGAAGTCAGAAGTCTGCAGGTACCATTTCCTCAACCTCCCTAAAGAGACGCAAGGACCGGCTCTGAGCTGGTGGGTGCGACAGCCGGCCAATCCCTGCCAAGGAAACATGGCCACTCCCACACATAACAGGACCCTCACTGTCCCCGGGGAGACACCATAAGAAGCGCCTGTATCAGATTTCAGCGCCGCTGTCCCACGTGGGATGCTAAGCAAAGCCAGGGTTACATCCATTTGGAATGTTATTCTGCACATGTACGAGACCAGGATAAGCCCAGACCCTTATCCCCTGACCTCCCCCAAATGCCTGGCTTGTCCCTGGCCTGGGAAGGAATTAACTCCAGCGCACCAGCCTGGCTCACCTCTGTCTTCAGGTGCGAAGCCGTTGTAGGTGCGTTCGACAATGATGACGTCGTCGTTGTCGAACAGGGACTCCGGGGAGGAATTGAAGTCGCTGTCCAGCCCCACCTCCGAATCAGTGCTGCTGTCGTCGCTGATCTTGATCACGCCCGCCATGTCGTACATGCCTTTCAGGGCCTTCGCACAGCGGCCTTTCTGCTTCCCTGTGAGGGAGAGCGAGCCGCATCAGTGGGGGGGGGAGGGCCCGCGGGGCAGGTCAGCACAGAACAGCAAGCACTGGCTCAGAGAATGGAGGAGAGGTCATAGGGAGCTAAGGTTGCCCCAAGCGAAAGGCAGATCAGAGAGAGGCAGACGTTTGGGCATGGGGGAAAAAGAGAGAGAGGAAGAACGAGCCAGTCTTTTACCAGGGCTGAAGACGGCCACATGGCAATGTGCAAACTGCACCTTGCTCTCACCTGGTCATGTGTTAGCAAAGCAGAATTGCAGCTACTTTCCTCTTCTGCCCTTGTGGGGAAAGAACCCACAGGCTTAGCTATCCCTAAAGGAAAATCTTTAGGCAAAGAGAGGGGCTGGTGCATTGGTGTTTCAGGAAGGAAAACCAGTCGCATCAGGACTGAATTCCCAGCACAGTGAGAAATGCCCCAGCCATGCAAGACGTTACAGATCCGTTGGTCTCAGCTGGCAGCAAACCCCAGCAGTTGGTGCCCAGGCAGCAGTTTGCCTGGGCAATCTCTGTAAATCAGCCTTTACCACTCTCTCCTCTTCCCCCTTTTGCCATATCCCACTTCCTCCATGTCACCATGGGCATGAGAGCTAGGGTCCAGCCTGCTTGCAAAGGAACCCAGCACAGAGGGAACACAGGTGGTACAGGAGACAGTTCTTACCTGCAGCCGCAGCCAGGAATAGGGTAGATAACTGAGTATTTTCCAGGGCACCTGCCACCCTATATGTAAGGGGTAGAGGAGAAAAACCCCTTGGCTGCAAGAGGGCCTCAGATGTGCAGCTGGGAGTCTAGCAAAATCTGCCTGTCAGTCTAGCAGTCTGCATTGCAGGGGGAAAGGGCATGGCTACTGGGCAATCCCAGGGGCTAGGAAGTGATTTGGTGGAAGGGAGGTGAGTTGCGGGGGGGAAAGATGACATGGAGAGCTGTAACTAGCGACATGCCTAGGGTGAGAGACTGTAGCAAGGGATCTAAGGGAGGGCAAACCCAAACCAAGGCAAAGCATGAAGTGGGGAAGGGAAAAGGAGACGAAAAGGCTGAGTAGCTGGGGCGAGGCGGAAAGGCAGGAGGTCAGACGTTGGGCGGTGGAAGGAGGTCTTACGTTTTCTTTTAATGCCAGTTCCTTTTTCTCTCTTTCTTTTGGTTGAAGGAAAGTGCTTCTGAATTAGTGATAGAAAGACGCCTCTGAAAGTAAGATGCAAAATTTATTCTAGCTACCAGGAGTAGGAACATCTACTGGTTATAATGTATCAATGGGTATTTAAGAGATCGATATATTTAATGGGAAAATGGGCCAAACCAAGCATTCTCTAACTGTTAGTGAGTCCTGAACAATTATCGATTAGTACAGCTTGGATCTGAGGAATCACAGCAACTCGAATGGAGAGGAGGAGGCTGCATTTCACCAGAGGGTTCTGATGGCAAACAGCGCGAGTGAAACAAGAGAGCTTGGCTCGCTCCAGCAGGACCTCAGCCTTACGGTATGCACACGGAGTGAATGCTGTGGTGAGAAATGCTCTCTGCTTTAGACTGCCTGCTACTCCTGCTGAACGGAGGCAGCACAGCCGTGCCAGGGAGCTGTTGCAATATAAACACAAAATGCCATGGGCATCGCGCGGCCATGGGACAGGCCAAAACAGCACAAACGTCAGAGTAACTGAGAGCAAGGTTTAAGTGTGATGCTCTCTATGTTTGGAAGTTGTTACTGCAAAATCCAGTACGTTCCAACATCCAACATCTTCTCTGGGTGTTATGTGGGCTAGCGGTTCCAACCCTGTGCCGTGTAACTGACCTGCCTGAAATGGCGGAGACTCTGAGTCATGGTTGTCTAACGAATGTGCTTTGATTAACCTAAAGCAGAACTACTTGCCCGCAAGGTAAAGGCCAGTGACAAAACATGGAACACACTGTGGGTCTAGTTGGATGGAAAAATCAGAAGAGGTGGAAATCAAATGGATGCTTTTGTGGGCTGTACTGCAAACGAAAGAGTAAATGCTTCAATGCTGGCTGGATTGGGAGGGACTGGGCCCATGTGCAATGAGGAGGCAGCGCTAAATGAGCTTGGGCTGAAACAAATGTTGAAAGCAACAGCTGAGAGGTATGGGCATGATTCCCACCTGCTGTGAGACGGGGTATTTGGGGAATAGAGGAGGGGCTCTCAGACCAGAGTGGGAGTTAAACAATACCTATTATGTGGTACTGGAAAGGCCCTTTGCCCTCAGTGCTGGACTGGCTCTGGGTACAGAGCTGAGACCCAGAGAAGGCTGAGAGTCACTTTGCTTCCTTCAAGCCAGGATTCAGGTTCTGAGTCTCCTTGCCATGAAATCCAGCTTGCTATTCTTCTGACCATCTGTGTTTTCTCCTCCTCCTCCACTGGAATCCCCATTAACAAAGTTTTATAGACTCCCCTGCACAAACAGCAAGCAGTCCTTCCCTTCTTGTTTTGTCAGCAACTGCTCCATTGCAAACACACTCCCCTAAGAGCACCCCCCTATTGCTGAAGGGCTTCAGAACCAGGAAGTTGCAATTGGACACTGTGAAGCAGGCACATTAGGAGATGGTACTGCCGAGCAAGTAAACACCTGCCCCGCAGGAGGGGGACAGAGCTGGCCAGCACAAGTGGTCACTAACAGCACCACCTTTGAACAAGGAGTCACGAGGGACCACTATGATCCTCTACTACAGTGGTTCTCAAACATTTGTACTGGTGACCCCTTTCACATAGCAAGTCTCTGAGTGTGACCCCTCTTATAAATGAAAAACACTTTTTTATATATTTAACACCTTATAAATGCTGGAGGCAAAGCAGGGTTTAGGGTGGAGGCTGACAGCTCGCAATCCCCCATGTAATAACCTCGCGACCCCCTGAGGGGTCCCGACCCCCAGCTCTATTACGACCTCTTCTGGCCTGTGTTAGGCAGATGTCCAACTCAGGTCAGAAATCAACTTAGCTGTTGGAGCCTGACTTGCTTCAATTCTACAGCAGTTAACAAGCGAGTATTTGCTCTGGGGGAGTGGGATCATATCTGGACCGGTGCCCCTGGCATGGCATAGGCCAAAACTGAGATACCCTGGAAGAGCAGGGATGCTTGGCACTTTGATAGCTCACACCAAGTCTAGCTTGCTCCAGTTGTTTTCATCAGCAATAAAAACTGATGCAAACAAAAATAATCTAACAGCAGCCCTGCTGATTGCACAGGTCCTAAGGAAACGTAACTCACCTGGGTCTTATCCCAGTCAGGCAGTTTGGTTTCCTGCCACCTGATGTGCAGGGGCAGCTGGGTTCATGGAATAGGGGATCATCTTCAAAAGCACCTAAGTGAGTTAGGTGCCTAAGTTTAATTGAAAGCCAAGGATTTAGGCTCCTACAGTGCCCAGGATACTTTGGAAAATGGGACTCAGTGCTTTTTAAGATGTTCCTCATCATCCACAGCTGACTGTGCACTGGGTACCGTCAGCTCTCAGATTAACTGATGCAGAAATACATAAACCAAACCACCACAAACTAGTGCATTACTGGGACAAGGCAATCTAATGCTACGTTCTGCTTTCGACTGATGCTGAAAGACAATGTTCTTGAAACCAGGATTTCTGGTGGGACAAAAAGAGATAGTCCAAAATCCTGGGGTGCCATCTCACCTTCCAGCACGTTTGTAAGATCTCAAGATCGGTCTCTGAATCAGATTATCTTGCTCACTTGTTTTTAATCCGGTACCTTTAAAAATAGTTTTCCTCTTTTCACAGTTTTGAGGGTTGCATTTTTCAGAGTGGGTGAGATGGAAGTTCCCACAGAAATGCGGGTGTGCCTGTTGTGCCCACGCACACCTGCATCTGGGTGCACGAATCAGGCTATTGCACATCTGGCTGTCCTCGTGCGCACGCCATTACTACAGCTGCATGTGGAAGAGCAGGAAAGGCCACTGCACTCCGATTTCAAGGCTCTTAGCACATACAGTCACTTTTGGAAACAGTGTCTTAAAACAGTGTCCTCGGTCTGTGAAGCTCATTTAGGATTCGAGGAATTGCATTCACAGGACCACAAAGTGCAAGCAGCCCTGGTACAGAGCCCGCTTCACTGTGCCTTTGAGCCTCCCCGGATTCCTGCCCTTCAAAGCACAAGGGGGTTTAACTCACTCTGCAGCGGAGACAAAACAGTTTAGGTGCCCGTCATTCTCGTCCAAGACCTCCCTGGTGCGAGCTTCGCCAGTGGACTGGAGCCCGATGACAATACACTGGGGAGAAATCAAAAGGGCAGCATGGCCGTGTGTTAGCGAGATGAGGTCATGCTACATTTTGCTGGGCATCAACACTCAGCAAACCATTATCAGCTCCAGAAGAGATTACGTTTCACGGTTTGCCAGCACCTTCTACATTCAACCCCAACTCCTCCCAGATACACACAGTAATATCTTGGCTCTAAAACTGGGCTCCTGCTGAAGCCTCTGTCTTTCAGTGCCTGAGGTTATACACGCAGCCACGATGTTAAGAAACATTGTTATGATGCTTTATCATTACAACTAACTGATTTCCCCAGCATCTCTCTCTGCCCAGTCAAATGAATGCAATGCCAAGTGTATTTAACCATGCAGAGTTGGAGAATCCAGGACATCTTTCAACTCTAACTCGACTCAGAATGCTGTTTCAAGTACGTTTGCTCATGTTTACCATAAAACAACGCCAAGAAACATCAACATTCATTCTGAACTATGGGAAATTAAACACTTGAAATCCTGGTTTCACCTATGGAGGCTAGATGCCTTTAGGTCAAGGATATAAGAAGATATATACTGCCTTTTCACTGCACACAATCACAGACTAGTGTCCAAGTGCATGAAAATACCCTCATTCCAGTCTTTTACCCCACTCTCCTCAGTTTGTACAGAGGTTGTGTTCTCTACAACGCATGTCTGGGCCTCAACATTCAAAGTGGTTTTATTCTGCAGAAAGACAACAGGCGTCAAAGATGACTATCACCAGCGATGATTCACCTGAATGCCTATGCATAACGGATGTCGTTGGACTAACGCTTATTGACCCTTTGCACCTGGTTTCTAATACCGTACCTTGTCCTTTGCCAGATCCTCCTTGGCAAGCTCAACGAGGCGTCGGACTTTAGCAGCAATGCAAAGATATTTGAAGAAGCGCTGATGAGCTGACCAGAACTGACCCCACAAGGACTTTCGAGACTCCAAGCCAATAAAGTCAGCCGCTTGCTGGAACACCACCATCGCCTCTGCCCACTGAAAGCACACACAAGAGGGCCAGGTTAATACTCCAGTCCCTAACTCATGTCACTGTAACACATAAGGTTATTAAAACCATCAGGGCTTTGAATATCAAATATATTTTCCCTATTTATGCTCTTTGTTTACTTGTGCTTCATTTAGCTAGGACAATGAAGAGACCGTCAATTCCCACCTTCTGCCTCAGCCCAACGCTGCAATGTCTGGGTTGCAAACACTGCAAGGGAATTGTTAAATCCAAGCAAGGGCCGTTTACGATGACATGAAAGAAGCAGCAGCAGCCACTGAAATATTTCTTTAAGTTTTATAAGCTAACACCATCCATTCTTTTTTAAAAAAATCAAACCTAAATTTTGGGTTGCAGCTACTCTAATGTCCCCTTACATCCTCCCATGTGCTGATTAAGGAGGATGATTAAACTCTGTTCTGCATCTCTACAGCACCTAGCACAAAGTGATCCTGGCCCATGACTTCAGCTCTTAGGTGCTACCACAATACAAACGATAATTAATACTAATGAGACTCTACCAGTATTCAGCACTTAACGTTTGAAACCCACTAGAAAGTTGGTCAAAAATCATTGAGTAAAAAATAAAGAGTCATCCGTTCTCACCCATCTGAAGACCTGGTCGTACACACACATATATATTTCATATATACAGACAACAGGAAAAGCGGACGCCCCCCCACCCCCACCTGGCATACAACCCCACCAGAAAATCAATCCACGCCAACGAGTCCTCTGTCACAATGTCAACGGAGCTGATCAAATGACTGAATGAGCCCCATGCTCGTTAAGAAGCAGGAGGCAGTAGTTAAATGCATTCAACTTCTTGAGTAAAATATTCCTCTTCACAACCCCCCCGGCCCCCCCAAAAACAAAACACGGGATTAGACAGTAGCTCTCTGGGGAGGAATGCGGGATGCTGGGGATCTACAGAGAAACACTAGCTCACCAGCTGCGCTGCTTTGTTGTAGACAAGCTCGTACTGCCGATCCAGTGGGATTTCCTCTATCTTGAAAGTGACTCCAGAGAAACTGAGCTGCCTGGCAATGTACATTCCGCTCACTTTCATGTCCATAGCCACAATTTCCATTGCACCAACACCCCTACGCAGAAAAGGAGGAAGGGGGGGGAAGAGAGACAGCCAGTTACGAAATCCCTTTCCCCTGCACAGTGGCCGTGTGGAGTAGGCTTGTCTGGAGATTCAGAACCTCTTGGAGGTTTTGCTTTGGCATCTTGCTTAAGTTGTCTTCAAATCATAATAGACTGGACCACACAATCCTGGCATTTACATAGCAGGCCTTATCCCCATTTCACAGGTGGGTGAGTCACTTCACCGTTCTGTTTTCCCACACCCTACTGAGTCTGTGACAGAACCAGAAACAGTGTCAGGTGGTCTGACTGTAAATCCCCTCTGCTAACCATCACACTGTATTGCTTTCTTCACTGCCTGGCCCAATAAAAAATAATTTTTCCTTTTATTCTGCAGAGATATTGGCAGTTACTGTGGCATTTAACACCCGTCATGAAATAGGGACAAAGCATTCGCTGTAAGATCTGTGGGATGGCTTGGAACGTATTAGCCAGATACATTGCATATCACAAGGGAGCTGAAACGACACAGCCAGTAAGCTACTGGTTCAAAGCCAGTGGTTTTTCCCCAACCCAAATGAAGGCTGTTGCCAAATACAGGATTAGTGTAAGGGAAAACCAGAAAGGTCTCCCATGACCTACCTCTTTTCAATTGCATGGAGGAATTCATCAAACGCTCTGAAGGGGGTTCCCTCCCCCCAGATCCCTAGCCGGCTCATGTAAATCATGTTTTTTGGCTCAGAGGCACCTGTATGAATAGAATGTGCTGTTAGCAAAGACACAACTATAAATAGTTTTGCCTCAGGCAACCTCTTCAAGTGACGGGCAGGAGGCCTCAGGTGAACCCTCACTCTGGAGAGCTTAGAAACATATGGAAGCATTTTAAAAAGGAGGGTTATTCCTCACACTTCCACAGTGCCTTTCAGCAGAGGCTTCAGGGAGCTTTACAAACGCTAATCCTCACAATACACCCATCAGGTCAGCGTTACTATACAGATGAATAAACAGGCAGAGGGAAGTTAAAGTGACTTGCCCAAAGATCACATGGCAGATCAGTGGCAGAGTTGGGAACAGAATCTAGGAGTCCTGCTTTGCCGTCCTTTGCGTTAAGATGAAACACGGGATTAGAGCATCTGATGCTTCATCACACCCTCTAGGAGCGTCCATTTCTGCTGTTTAAAATTGAATTTTACAACATGTGTTTTTTGATCAGCCCCATAGCAGTTAACCTGGGCTATGGACATCTTCCGCATGGGGAGGACTGGAGCATTGGGCAGCTTCTGCATGTTTATACCTGGGGTCTTGGGAATCACATGGTATAGACTCTCACCTGTGGCACTGGCATAGACGACCCTAGCTCGAGGCAGTTTGTTCTGAAGGTCCAACACTGCTTTGCCCATTTTAGTGGAGCTGGCATTTTTGGCTTTGTGGCATTCATCAAACACAATCTGCAAGGGAACGTTAGTCAAGGAGAAAGGACGCGCAGTCTGCTATGGGAATACAAATAAATACCAATGCTGATAATGGCTGGGTGAAGAGAGAAAAATACGATCCATGTCCCTCCAGTGGAACTGAACCACCATCAAACATTCAGCGTGCGGACCAACTCCACAGCAGCATGAAGCCTTGTACTCCACTCTCCCCGGGCCCCGGCTTTCCAAAGCCTGTGCTAAATCTCCACCCTGTTATTTCCTATTGAATGGTGCCCCACTACCCAAACACGTGCCAAGGGGGATGAAAGCTGAAAAGGCTTGTTACTCAAATACACCCCTGACTCTCCCCGTGCTCACCCGCTGGCACTCTCACTGGTGGGATTTTCAAATGGGCCTCAGTAACACAAATTCTAGTGACTTTTAATGGGAACTGTGCTGCTAAATCACTTAGATTTTTCTGAAACGCCCACCCGTTCCACAGCTACACTGTTTTCTGGAGAACTGAGGGCTTCCCGCCCCCCTCGCTCCTTACAGCACTGGAACATCCACCACAAGCCCCAAGCTGATAGCCGTGCTCTCGGTGATCTTTGTTCACTTTGGAAGCACAATTACAAGCATGTTGCTATTTCTTTAGGATACAACTCCGTCGAAGTTCTCCCTGCACCAGTCCAAAATCTGCTTTAATCGCGTCCTGTGCTGTCCGCCTGCCTGGCTTTCACCAATCAGAGCAGAATAAGTGGCAAATAGGACTCCTTCTGAGGTAGCTGTGTCACCATATTTAATCTACAGGGGGAAGGCAAAAGAAAGAGGACACTTACAATGCTATTTATAGCTCATTTGATTCCATCCCCTGTCCAAACCCAAAACTGGTGAAGGCAGATGACTTTTTAATGTGACGATACAGGGCGTACACATCTGCTTTTTATAAGCAATTGCCACATCACAGAGCCCATATGGGAAGAGAGTGGGGAAGAAAGTTTGCTAATAACTGACTTCTTTAATGCTAGTATTTGGCACAGAGATGCCATGATTACGGGGACTTTAAAATCCTAGATATATCCCTCCAATCGTCAGCATGTGCGCACATCCGCATGCATTTTAACGAAGAGTGGAAACTTTACTTGGACTTCAATTTCTTGGCTGACCGAAGTCACTTAATTCTTTTTAATCAACGGCGTAGAATGCTTAAACTGTTTTTATTTTAAATATTCTCTCCTCTGGTTTGTTTCCTTTTTTAGAGATGGCTTCCTGTTTGACTGAAGGGGAGATTATTGTTTAGCTTCCAGGATCATTAGACTTCATCTGTAACTAAGTTAATTATAGGAAGGAAAAAGATACCCCTCAATTTGAAGAAAGTGCTATTCAGAGCCCTTTAGATTCTGAGGACACAGTGGACTCAATGGACTAATGGGCTGATTTAAGAGGTTCTGACCACATGCGCATCCTATTGATTTAAATGGGAATTGTGGGTGCTCGATGCCTCTGAAAATCAGGCCACAAGCGTTCGGAGAAACTAGCAGGCAGCTTGACAGGTTCAAGCTGGCTGTGAATGATCTGGAGACTAGAACAGGGGTATGGAATATCTTGCTGAACAATTACTACTTAGCACTGGCAGTTTCCTTTAAGCGGCAATTTAATTTTCATGCCTGCTTGACACTGACCGTTAAAAGGAGACGGTTAAGAGATGCACTAACTCAGCTGGATTGAAATTAGATGCATGTTTAGAGAGTCCACAGCACTGCATGCTTGGCAGCCCTTACAGGGAGAAAACTTGGATCTGTATGTCCCTCTTCCCCAACAAGATCAGAAAAGGGCAGGCCCGCTGACAGGGGTCGGGGGCCCGGGCAATTTAAAAGGGCTCGGGGGCCCCCGGCCACTACAGCGGCAGCCCCAAGCCCTTTTAAATTGCCCACGTGGGCAGCAGGACAGGCTCCTAGGTGTGCGCGGGGTGGTACCGGTGGCGGCGAAGGCAGCCGGGCAGGCATGTGGAAGCCCTGGCCGTGCCGGAAGAGCACACTCAGCTGCGCAGTTGGCAGCTCGCGAGGCACCAGCCAGCGCAGGCGGCAGCAGCTCGCTGGGCACCAGACATGCAGACCACGTCCGCGCAGGCTAGGGGCCCATTGACTGTTCTTCCCTGGGGCCTGGAATTGCCGAATAATAAGGTCTTAACAATACAGCTGTACCAGGTCCAACATTCGCCATTACAAAACCACTCCAGGAACAATTAACATGATGCACGCGCCACGTGGCCCTGCCACTAGAGGTTGCACTCGCGTTGAGCCACTGCTTAGATTTGCAGAAATCGAAGTTCCCAAACCAACACAGGAGCATCACACGTATGTAACTACGGCAGGAGAGTCTACAGTGGAAACAGCACAGGGCAAGGACAGTAACAATAACCAGGCCACTGATTGCTATTGTCTGTAGCACGAACATGACACGAAGGCAAGGACAGGTGAGTCACATGCTTTGTTTAGGACCATTTCACCTACCAGCTGTCAGTAGTAGGCTTCCTCCCTCCCTCACCAAAAAAACGGTCTTGAATTCTCCTCCCTACCTTGTTTAAAGCATGCACAGGAATGTTGGGGGCATCAATGTCCTTCAGGTCTCTTTCAGCATCATACTTGAGATCATTGGAGACGCTGAACCTAAAAGAGAGCAGAGGAGCTGGTTGTCTTGAGGAAGAGACAGCCTATGTAGAGTTTAGTGCACATGCAAGTATGAGATCAATAGTTCTGACTACAGACACTGGAGGTGTAGCAAAACTTCCCATGCACCTCAAAACAAGATACTACAGCAGCCTCAAGTCCTGAACAGGAACTGCCATTTGTGACAAGATGTGCAGGGATTCTGCAGTACAAACCCATCTGTTAGGGGCTTGATTCTGCACCACACATGGCCAGGGATATCTCCCCTCGACTTCAAAGGGAGTAGGAACAGGCTCTAGTGTCCTCTCCACTTGGTACGTGATTTGCCTCTCCAAAGTGTTGTACTAACAATGATTAATCCTCACATCTCCCCTGCAGAGTAAATCTTTTCGGCAGACAGGCACAGAGAGGTGGAAATGACTTGCCCAAGGCCACAGAGTGAGTCAGCTACAAAGCTGGCACTCAGGAATTCCTGGCGCCTGGCCTTAAGTTAACTCTCCAAGCTCTTACAGTAAAGAAGGGAAACTTACCACAGAGATTTCTTCCTGCCCTTCAGATAATTTTCAAAGATGATCCCGGCAACTGTCCTGCCCTTTCCAACCCCAGCACCATCCCCAATGAGGAACCCAGCTCGCTGCCCGTTGGGTAGTAAAACTTCATGTTGCTGCAAATTCAAAACCAGAATTAGGAATTAACCCTGATTCGCCCTTTGCTAGCGCCTTTCATCTGAGGGGCTCAGAGCACCTCACCAGTTAACCCTCACAGCTCCCACGGAGGCAGGTCTTGCACACGTCTCAAAGTAAACTGAAGCCTGGAGAGTTAAGTGACAACACAGTGGCAGAGCAGGAAATAGGTCCCCAGGGCCTGATCATCAGAAATGCTGAGCACCCGCAATTCCAGCTGAAGTCAATGGGAGCAGAGGGCACTTGGCACCTTTGAAAATCAGGTCCCATGAGTCTTCATTCCCAGTCCCCTTGCTTTAGACATCACGCCCTTTTACAAGGCATTTAAAATCGGTGTCCAAATCCAATGCTTCCAAGTTCTATTTTCTATGCAAGAGGCTATTTGGAAACTCAGCTGAACAAGTTATTTAAGAATGGCACAGTGTATTTTTATTACTATCTGCCCATGGAAGAGAGCTGAGCAAGGTGGATCTGGCGTACCTGGCAGGCATAAACGATGGCCTCCAGCTGTAGTGCAGAGAGTAACCCGTTGTCGGCAATTGAGCTCGGAAGGGACAGGGTATAGGTAATGTCAGGCGGGGGAACGCTGGAGAGAGTGCTTGTTTCAACCACGCGGTCCGGGTGCTGCTTCCCAATCTTAGCTGGAAGGGAGACACAGGAAACAGTCAAATAATTGATGTTTGCACTTCTATGGAGCATTTCATCCAAGGACCTCAAAGCACTTCACAAACTTCCCAACACCCGAGTGCTAAGCGTATCCCCATCTTCCAGACGGGGAACTGAGGCAAAGAGGTTAAGTGACTTCCCCCAGGCCAGTCAGCCAGCAGCAGAGTTGGGAATAGAACAAAGAGGTCCTGACTATATGTTTCTTCTAAACACTGCACTTTGCTCCCTTTGGCAAAAGGATTCCTGGGAATCCCCAATATCGCCAGCCCTTTTTTTCAGGGGGAAATGGAGATGGCTGAAAATCTGCTCAGCCCCACCCTCAATAAAAAGCAACGGCCAGGTCTGCTGTTAAACCAGGGAGACCACCGAGAGTGGAACAGCATACGGGCTCAGGTAAGCCGGCCTGCAAAGCTTAGCTTCAAAAATGTGCATGTAGGGGGCTGCAATGCAACGCCACTGTCCCCCGCTGCAGAAAACAGGGAACATTAGGCTGAGCAGCAAGGGCTTCAAAATCAGCTTCCCAGGTCGGACAGCGAGGCAAAACGAAAAAGCTGCCACGCAACTCACATTTTGACGGTACATAATCTGCATAGGTCTCCGTGTGCCCCAACTCCTCCGTTTCTTCCTCCTCACCTTCGTCATCCTCCTCCACCGGAGTCTGCGACTGAAATTACACAGGATGTTGATTGAATATTAATATCCCACAGAGCTTTGGACATGTGGGTATTAGGTACATGCCAAGTACCATCATTTAAACCCTCCCATCCCAAGCACACAAACTTGCCCCTCAACTTCAACTCGTCTCATTGATACGACACAGCAGCACAGGGCAAACTGACTGAGGGGGCCTCTCCCATGTGGTCCAGTAACTGTATTGCAAGCCACCTTTAGAGCCCAGTCCATACTGTACTAAGGAGCAGTGATAAGAGCAGTTTCTAAGACGGTTTGGCTGGCCAGTGTGAGCAGGACCCAACTGTGCTCTAACTTGAGCTACACAAAGGATCGAAACCAGTTTAGAACACAGCCTGATCCCACCTACCGTGGGTGCCAAACCACATCATTTTAAACCAGAATAGCCTTTAAATACTGTTAGCTAATGTGGTTTAGAGCTCAGTTGTAGAGGAAGCAGATATCACTCCCTCAAATCAGTGAAGTTCCAATGAGGGAAATGTAAGACTCTGTGGGGGAAGGGCGGTGGCTAGAGAAACATCTGACTGATTCTTAAATCATGGCTTTTCCAGGGGAGACCTTTAGCCAGATCTTTTTTTTCATGTCTGGGTAAGTGCCTCGTGCCTGTTCCCGCAGAGTCAGATGCTCTTCCTCACCTGATAGCTTATGAGGAGTGGGGTGTTTGGGGGATGGTCTTCCAAACTTTCTAAGCCTGTGAACGGTCTGCTGGGAGAGAACAGCTGGAATAGAAAACACACATCTGAGAAAGCAGCTTTAATACCCATCCATCCAAACCAACAGTGACAGCTCATGAAAGGAAAGCACAAAAACAATCCACTTTTGTCCTGTGCCCAGGACTGAGGTACTTATGTATTACAGTGGCTTGATTTGCTCTGCATGCCTCTTCCAAGTTGTGTGTCACATGCACGCTGGAGAACTAGCCAAGATGGATATTTTCCCATGAAGAGTGAGAATGTTGTGTGTGTGCAGGCAGACATGGCGAGGCGTGTGCTTCCTTCCATGATGCGAATGTGCCTGCAAGATGGCAGTCTTTCCTACAACGTCGTAACAGCAGCATGTGTGTTAAAACGGGTCATCTTGAAACGCCACGTTTGCCCTCAAACACTGAACTCCTCAGGGCGTAGCCTTGTCTTTGACACGCTGTATTTATTCACCCGCCTTCCACTCGTTAATGAATTACATGTACAAATCCTGCCACTTTCAGAGGATTTATAAGGCAAGTATCCCTTTCAGCATCTGACTGGTGTTCTCAAGGGCACCATGAGTTCTCTCTGCAGTGGGAATGATTAAGATTGATCTGCATGCATGAACAGAAGGCTGTTTTCCTATCTGTCTTGGAAGCAGCTCTGTAGAAACCTGCTGCACCATTCCCGAAACATTGTGGGTTTAAGTCTCTAAAGTGGTGCTGCAGGTTTTCTCAGCGCTTCCTGCTCATTGGCATCAGTGGCTTCATTCTGCACTGGGGAACTCAACCAGGAACCCTGGGAGTCATCAACCAATGGGCTCATACTGCAGTATGGGATAGCTGGAGATCTCTGGATGAAAAGTGCTACGTCAGAGCTCATTATTGTCATAACATCTGCAGGCACCAGACCACAACTAGTAAAGAGGGCTCCCAAGACACTTCCAGCTGGGAAGACACAATTGATGAGAACCTTTTTCTGGCTCTACACTACCAAAATCATACTGGAATTTCCTGAAAGGAAGAACAAAGTCAGGCCAGCAAATCACGGAGTCTAAAAGTAATCAACTGCTCCATAAGCAACATTGCTTCCAATTTACAGTCAGAGACGGGTGCCAAGCCTATACAGACAGACACCCTCCAAAGGCAGAAGTGAGCCATTGGAAGGCCATAAGCAAACACTCTGTAATTGTTTACTAAGAAAGAAAGCAAGCAAGCAAGCAAGAAATTGTCCTTCATTACTGGAAGCCTGAGTCAGATTTACCAGAAAGAAGCTGGCAGAGATGTTTCCAGTGCCAAGAAAGCTGGAGAGCAGGTACAGAAGTTTCTACTCAGGCGCTAGAAAAGACTCAGATCTCCTCATACCATTGGAATGGAAGGGCAGAGCTCTGACAAGGAAAGATGATTCTTTATTGCAAAGATAACCCAGATCTTTCCTTGACTCATGGCATCTTCAACGTATAAACCGTATAAGCTCAGATATACCAATATGGCTGTTGCGCACAGCTCTCACTGGTGCCCCTAGATCTTCATCTCAGGTGGAACAGTGTCCTAAAGAAAGTGGTGGACGTCCCACTGCTTGGGGCATTTAATAATAACTGGTAGAGACATTAGAAAATGTACACCAGGGAACAATCCTGCAGCGATAAGGAGTTGGACTGGATGATCTAATAGGCCAGTTCCAACTCTAATTTCTACAATTCCTCCCCTTCTCTCTTCCGATCCACTCACTAGTTTACTCCTCTCTGTAACATATGTTCCATGTAGGAGAACACTGTGTAAAAGATGTACACTCCACATATAAGAACAGAGGGAAGAATGCAGGAGAGACGCTCACTTAATAAAGCAACTGACAATTGCATACCTGAATCTTCATTTTATTCAATTTTTTCCCTCCTTACCTTATTTCATTTCCCTTTTGTGCCTGTCTCACTAATACTACAATAGAAAATGAAATTGTCAGTTGACTCCTCTTTGTATAAATATTACTCCTCTGAATCTGGCTGGGAGAAAGGTTCTCAGTTTTTAAAAAGTGCCTTGAATGATCAACATTACTAAAATGCATTGACTGGTCAAGAAAACTCCAGCTGCAGGCTTCAAAGGGTAAATCTTTGCTTTACTGATTTGAAGAACTCAAGGGGTTCTTTTGAAATGTTTGTGAGAAATCATATTAGATTGCAATGAGTATTTTAAAATGACATTTCACAATCCCCGCACAAATTATGCAAGTGTGTTTTGTCTGCTGAATGCCTAAGATATTTTGCAGGGTGGTTTTCCTTCCCACTGTCCCTCTTCCTGAAATGATAAAACAGAACTAACGTGTCGTTATAAACGCCTCTTCCCCCTATTAGTTGTAACATCTCATCCGGGATGGGCAAATAAGGCCTGTCATGGAGTCCATCTATTCCCCCTTCTCAGGGGTGTAGTCAACCACATTCTGAATGGAGGCTGTATATACAGCATATGGGATCAGAGTTTATCAGTGAAGCTTAGAAATGCAGAGTCTAATTGTGAAGTGTTTTCCAAATGTTCTTCCTCTCACACTGAGTAGGCACCCTCCCCCACTAAAAGGCAACAGATGTAAAACTGAAAAAAGGAAATGCTCTTTACGTAACCTATCATTCGCTGGTGGAACTCACTGCCACATGACATCATTGATGCAGAGAGCTTAGTAAGATTTTAAAGAGGATTAAATACAATGAGAGATTCTATTGCTATGTCAATATGAAAAAAAAAAAAAAAAAGGTCAAACCCTCATGTTTCAGGGCATAAACTAACTACTAACTGATAGGGGTTAGGAAGAAGGTTACCCTATAGGGAGCTTATTCCAGAACTGTCTACCAGGCACCTTCTTGCACCTTTTCTGAAGCATCTGGTCCTAGTCACCATCAGACATAGGACCCTGGACTAGCAGGACCAGCAATGCAATTCCCATAAGCAGAGTGCATGCAGGAGCCTGGGATGTGTCAAAGGAGGATGCTGGCTGGTACTGCCTCACTAGCCTTCACTTGTAAAAGCTTCCAAAGTTAACACATCAGACATTACGAGCTTTGAATTTAGACAATGAAATTCACAAGTGTCCTAACAATGTTTCATGGCTTTATCTTGTTTCTACGGAAACAGATATTTGATCAACCAAAATGGAATAAAATCACCATATCAGAACTGATTAGGATCATGTCAGGCTGAGTTATTCCTGACATCGCACAACCGATAGCTCATTGTTATACTGCAGCTCTGTTAAAGCAGTATATGGCTATGCAAAAGCAAAAACATTTGCAATCTTATGGAATATTAATATTATTGTGGTTTGAATAAATACACAGAGGGAGATTATTCACATGACGCTTATCTTGCAACAATCATACAAGCAGTGTAATAAACTCACATTATCATGTGCTGAATGTTAAAATTAAATCTTTCGCCTCATGCTCTTGCAATACATCGCTCGCTTGTCTTCTTTAATATAATGAAAATTTTGTACTGAAAATTCAGATTAAAAAAACTCTACCACTCAGTGCTCTCTATCAAGTAATCTATTTTGCCAGTATACTGCGAATTATAGCCACCTATGCAAAAAAGAAACTGAAATCCTGGTGCAGCATGTACTAAATTAACTCATTCCGTGAGGAAATGCTGGGAACAATCGATAAAAAAACCCCTCAGAATACAGAAAGCAAAGATAAAACAATGTTCAAAACAACCAGTTATTTTTTCCACAAGGAAGTCACTGACAAATGGAACTCCACTGAGCTAATTGTCCTGTTATGAACCCAATCAGTGTGAAGGAAGGTGATGGCTCAGGATGGTAATTTTAATTGGCAGACAGGAAGATATAAATGGCAGCATCCAACAGTAACAGTGGCTATTGTTCTGACAAAGTGTTAGTTTCACACACCCACAAAACATTACCCATTTCTCTTGCTTTCTTTGTGCTGCTCAGCATATTATTATTGTATAGCTTGTACATGAAGACTTTTCACATGTCAAATCCTGAACTCAGTTTATGTGTTTAGAAAACACACACCCGAAGGAGCTACAGTCTTAACAGTGTTTTAAGCTTCCAAGTTAAAAAAATAAATGAAAGAATGGGCACAATAAGACATCAGCAACTTCAATGCATCCAAGTGTGGCCCCTTCAGACATTTCTTTGATTAAAATGATTCAGCTCTTCCTTTCCCCTCAAGCTTCTTGTGCTCTAGGTTCAAACTTGTCTAGTTACCGACCTATCTTCAGCTATGTCTACACTACAAGCTAGGGCTATGAGTCTCCTGCTCACGTTTGCACACTTGAGCTAGCGTAAGTACAAATAGCAGCGTGAACGTGGTAGCAGTGAGTACAAACTCACCTGAAACCGGTGGGTATGCTCAAAGAGAGCATGTCAGAGTTACAGTTTAAGGCCAGAAGAGACCACCAGATAATCTAGTCTGAACTCCTGTATATCACAGGCCACCAACATCATCCATCACCTACACACTAAACTCAAGACGGAGCATGGGAATCACACCCCTAGCTTGTATTGCAGACATAGCCTTAGATCAGCGGTTCTCAAATTGTGGATTGGGACCCCAAAGTGTGTTGCGACCCAGTTTTAATGGGGTCGCCAAGGCTGGCATCAGACTTGCTTTCCACAGGGATCTGTATGACAGCAAACAAAGGACAGTGGTGTACCGGGAAACCGAAAGTGCATTGTAGTGAGCACTCACTACAAAATCAAAACTAGAGATTTCTCACATTTCTATGCTACCAGTTCATCTAACTATCCAACCTCCTCCCCAATACCAGTGGCTGATTCCAGGTTGTACAATAATAAATGAGCAGTACTAATTAACTGGATGGAAAGGAGGGAGTGGGATGTTGTTTAATGGGCAGCCACACTAAAAACTAGAGTGTTTTGGGGCTACTCTTAAACCAATATAAGGTTTGAATTTTACTGCTGTCACAAAAGAAGAAATATTTGCCATAGAAAAGGAATGTATGATAGACATAGGTACTGGGACAGCTCACTGTAGCATAACGATCTAGCCGAAAATATTTCTAATGGACCCAACACAACAATACACTGTAGCTACCGTTCATACGGGCAGCTTGGTGGCTGAATGTTCTAAGTACACACTTTCACTGGGATGCTGAACATACCTACCTGACCAGGCTGTGGGGAGGCTAAGCTAATGTTTGTACAGTGCTTTGAAAGAGTGCAAAGTATTATTTACAGGTGTGTCCTAACATTCCACTGATTTCAATGGACTACGCCAGTGCAACAAGTGCAATGGAGGACCCACAATGAAGAGGTTCAAAATCAGGGACGGAACCTATTTTAAGCTGGAGCCCTTTGAAATGTCATTAGAATGGGGTGTCCAGAGCCCTCCCTGAGACACTGAATCAGCTTCACTGGCAGCAGCACTTCATCTGGGTCTGAAGGGAGGGTTGCTTCACCCCTAATGGATTTCCTAAGTCCTGGGGCAGCTGTTTGGTAGGAGAACTGCAAGATCAGGCCTCGAGGTTTGAATTTCTGAGTGGTGAGGAAAGGAGAGGGACTTTCACTGACCTCTATTTGGTTTGGTTGCGACGTGTTTATATCCCATATTGTTGGCACATGGTTCAGGCTGTCGGCGGGCAGGAAGTCCTGAGCATCAGCAATGTCGGAGAGGGAGTCCGCGGGGGATGAGAAGAGGGAGTTGTTGGAGAGCTCATCGAGGTATGAAGAATCCTGAAATGGAAAGAAAAGCCCTTGGTTACAGGAGACGGTAAGAAGGTACCTCCAAGGTTCTGTCTTGCACTCATGTTTAATTTCAGAGTATTAAATGGATAGTGTTGTTACATCCATGCTGCATGGTGCTTCGAAACGAACTGGTAAACCAAGACAGCTATTCAGAGAAGCGGGGTTTAAATCTATAATCCCAGTTTCTTGACACAGCAGGAAAAACTGCTGGTGCAATGTACAGGAACCCCAGTTAGACTCTTTGGAAACACTTAGATTGTGACTCTCCAAGTGCAGATCAGCATGAGAGAGGATCAAAGGACAGGACAGCACCAGTCACTCTGATCTTCATATTTAATAAAAAACAACCGAGCACTAGTGAAAGGTGCCAAAGCTAAAGTCCTCTATGTAGCCACAAAACAGGTACAGCATACACAGCAACAGCACTAACTATTCTCCCATCCCAACATGACACCACCTATCAATTATCATTATTTGTATTACAATGGCACCAAGAGGCCCCAGCCAAGATCACAACCCCCATCGTACCACGTGCTGCACCAAAATTTAGCAAGAGACTGTCCTGCCACAAAAAGCTTACAGTCTAAGCAGACAAATCAGTAAAAGGGAGGATTATCATCCCCATTTTACAGCTGGGGAACAGAGGCCGAGGATGATGAAGTTGTAGGACTCATGAATGAAATTGTTTTTAGTTATCCTGTACCATTGTAACTTCTGTTCACCATTTCATAACACCTGCCATTTTGCCTACATTGTAACTTTCATTACACTTTCCATTTTTCCTACATTGTAACTTCTGTGCCATATTGTAATTCAAACCCCATTTTAAAACGCTTACTCCATTTTGTAAGGGCTTGCTGCAACCTTCATTGTTGCAAACCCTGCTGTAATTTTATTAGTCTAGTTAAGATGTGTAAATGAGAAATGCATGGGTGATAAAATCAACCTCCAGCACCAGCCCGTCCTGATGAGATAAAGTTCAAATACCAACGGCTGAAAAACTAGACAACAGCCCTAACTCAAGCAAGAAGCATCCACCCTAAAAAGAAACAACAGAAGGAAGATCAAAGCCAGGTCCCAGGCTGACAGTCACGCCTGCAATTGACGGGTGATCAAGCACCAAACCCAGAGGCGGCGTGACACAGCGAGACCTAGGAACTTTGAATCCAAACTAAACTCCTATAAAAAAGGAAGGGTGAGAGGAGAGACTTTGGGTAACGTTCTGCTATCAACATCAAGGAGCATCGGTGCGCGCCCGACAGAGACCCGGCTCCTCCTCGTGCTCAGCTTTCCTGGCCAGTTAGCTGCCACGAGCTCCGATCCCAAGCTGCGAACTCAAACTACAATCAGGACTGGTAACTATCCAGCAGCTGCAGAACATTTTGGTGTGTGTGTGTGTGTGTGTGTATGTGTATAAGCATTGAGGTATTTGCTAATAGTTACAGATTAATAATAAATGTGGCATCTTTGTCTTGACCCCTAAAACGATCCTGTGTAAGTTTGTGGAACAACA